ACTTTACAAACCACACTAAACGCTTAGTGGTGCCAGAGGAGTTGGACCAGACAGGTGTAACATAGCGACTATTTTAACGCCGTCTTATTTCGCCTCTCTCTTCCACACTCAACCACCACTTAAGCGTTTATCCATGACACACCCCACAACACTTACCATCATCCTTGATTACACATCTTGATTCCACTGGCATCCTCCCACAGGACTGCCATACCCCAGAGGTAGGCAAAGCATTCATATGCTATCCTCTCGTGGGCCAACCAGGCCCAGCCTCTCAAAAAAAAAAAAAAAAATGGATCACATCACTAATTATACGCCACAAGCTTCAATCTTGTATGTTAATTACTTCATGACCTATATGGTGGTCATATCACTTCTGACCCAAGGTCTGGCAGCCTTTGTTTTAGGAAAAGATTAGACTTGGGTGTTGTTTTTTAACTATCCCTTGTTTAGAACTTTTATTTGATATAAATATAATAATAGTTGTGAGTTAAGTATACATTTTCAAAACGGTAACTGTTCTTTAAAAGTTTTACAATTTTAAAAATACAATATTTATAGAGGTCAAAAATATCCAATGTGGTGTATCCAAAAATGAATTCTCTTAAAGTAGCGAGGTCCAGGCAAGAAAATTAAAAACATTTCGGGTTTCATAAAACAATGTGAGCATAATGGTGAGATTAGCCAAGTAACCAAATAAAAATGTTATAGGATGGACATACTTTTATCAGTGTAGTAAAACCATTTTCTCTTATTATTATATATCTGCTCTTTCGAACTGATATCGATCACCGCGGTATTCGACCTTTTTGTGGACGAAATACATTGCACATTGTAGATCTTATAACCTTTGTAATACGAAATACGAGCTAAAAAACATTCAATGGTCAGCGCGCGCGTCTTACATGGCCGGGCGCACTTCCTATTTCTAGAGACTGTGAGAATTTTCACAATACAAAATTTGTTATACCTATTTGGAAAAATCAGTGAGTGTCGCCTAGGTGCCATATTTGATGGTGCGCGGCTTTAGGAGCAAAAGTAAATGTAAAAGTCGCGTAATTTGATCAAAATTTATCAAATTCGTTGATTTTTGTCATATTATTCGGATACATCTTCAGTTCCTTCGCGACTTTTACACCTAATTATGCTCCAAAAGCCGCGCACCATCAAATATAGCATCAAGGAATGTGAGACGTACTTACCAAAGGCATGTAAGGGGAGTTAGCCGATCGAGTGTTCCTAGGTATATATACTGGAAGATAGAAGGTATCGCATTCTATCAACAGTCATGTCTACCTTCTCCAAGTTCCTCAATGGTTTCAGAGGATGTCAACAAGTGCTTAATTCTGACGGATATATCTACACCAGGAAGAAATCTGATGACACCGTTCTTTCCTCTGCTTGGCGCTGCCAGAAGAAGTCCTTGCTGATGCTTCAACAGAAGTAAATCAGACGCTACCAAATATGGAATCACTTGGAAAAGTCGTCCGACGAGCCAGAGCTTTTGCCTCCGGATATGCCCAACACACCGAGTCGAAGACCTCTCTTGAATTCGTTCTTCCTCCCAGCTGCACATCTACGAGAAGAGACGAACAATTTATCCTCTTTGATGGGAAGACTGACCGAGATGTGGGATCATAGCCTTCGCCACCAACAGGAACCTTCAGACCCTCGTGCAGAACACAACAATGTCCACAACAATTGTCCAACTGACACTGGTACTGTTCTGATTGATTTTGAGAAAGCTTTAATGAACTTACAGAGTTGTCAAATGAACTCTACCCCAGATCTAGCTCATTTGTAGGTCAATTATATTCAATCCATGGATCACATCACTAATTATACGCCACAAGCTTCAATCTTGTATGTTAATTACTTCATCATCATGACCTATATGGTGGTCATATCACTTCTGACCCAAGGTCTGGCAGCCTTTGTTTTAGGAAAAGATTAGACTTGGTTGTTGTTTTTTAACTATCCCTTGTTTAGAACTTTTATTTGATATAAATATAATAATAGTTGTGAATTAAGTATACATTTTCAAAACGGTAACTGTTCTTTAAAAGTTTTACAATTTTAAAAATACAATATTTATAGAGGTCAAAAATATCCAATGTGGTGTATCCAAAAATGAATTCTCTTAAAGTAGCGAGGTCCAGGCAAGAAAATTAAAAACATTTCGGGTTTCATAAAACAATGTGAGCATAATGGTGAGATTAGCCAAGTAACCAAATAAAAATGTTATAGGATGGACATACTTTTATCAGTGTAGTAAAACCATTTTCTTTTATTTGCTCTTTCGAACTGATATCGATCACCGCGGTATTCGACCTTTTTGTGGACAAAATACATTGCACATTGTAGATCTTATAACCTTTGTAATACGAAATACGAGCTAAAAAACATTCAATGGTCAGCGCGCGCGTCTTACATGGCCGGGCGCACTGCCTATTTTGTATTTCTAGAGACTGTGAGAATTTTCACAATACAAAATTTGTTATACCTATTTGGAAAAATCAGTGAGTGTCGCCTAGGTGCCATATTTGATGGTGCGCGGCTTTAGGAGCAAAAGTAGCTGTAAAAGTCGCGTAATTTGATCAAAATTTATCAAATTCGTTGATTTTTGTCGTATTATTCGGATACATCTTTAGTTCCTTCGCGACTTTTACACCTAATTATGCTCCAAAAGCCGCGCACCATCAAATATAGCATTTAGGCGAAACTCACTGATCATTCCAAAAAGGCATGACAAATTTGGTACTGTGAAAATTCTCACAGTCTCTAGAAAACAATGGTACAAAAATTATGAAAATCCGAGCAAGTTTATTTTTATCGTGCACCCCCTACTTATTGGTTGAAATTCTGTCCGTCCGATTGTCTTTTCTTTTTTCTTCCTCTGATCGAGTTGGGACGGAATTGATACAATTATGAAATTCTTAAACAAAGAACTTAAACTTAAAGAGAACTGAATGTAAGTGAACTGGAAGTGGAGCAGCTATGTAAGGACAACTGTACTCATCATATTTGGTCTCAACATTCCTCCAGGAGTTTGGTTCACATTATCTTTTACTTGAACAGTGACAAATTTAAATGTAATTTAAATTTATCACAGATCATAGTAACAGACTCAAGTGTAGCACAGTTTAACTACCATAATACAAGTTATATCTTGATCCAAGATAGTTATAAGGTATCTTGATGCAAGCAAACTACTTTGGAATTATCATTTAGAACAGATTTCTTTAAAGTTTCACTTGAACATTTACAAATTTATCACAGATCATAGTAACAGACTGAAGTGTACAATTAAGCAGACAAGGAGGAAATTCCTCCTTCACCTTGTCTGCTTACTTGTATAAAGCTATTCAAATTATTTTTCAAATAGGCACAGAACAGTGCGATAATATTAAATTAGCACAAAGACATTTCCATTTCAGATAACAATCACAGTAGACAAATTTGAAAAGAAGATGGTATATGATCCAACTGTCGATTTGGAGTGAACAGGTAAATACAATGTGATCCTCTATCGCTCAATTCAACTATAATACATATGGAAATTTTGCAAATAAATCATTTTAAATGGCAATTTTTTTGTGCTTTTTGCATTAAAATACGTTAATTTCGATAATATAATATGTTTGTCCTTACATATTTATTTAAACAGGGGGTACGAATGGAGACGAGGAAAACAAAAACGAGGAGGAAGAAAAAGAAGATAGCAAGAAAGCGGCTGCATTATCAGCCACTCTAAATGCATTCCTGTTATCTGTAGCTTATCTTCTTCACTTCGTTCCTTGAGAAAAGACAAAAAAATCTGAATCTAAAAAAATGAATATTTAATGAAAACTGAAACAGTGGGCCGGCTTAAAAAATAAAAACTGTGCCATAATTTAATTAGATCCTTCCTGAAATTCTATGTTTGATAATTAAAGAGCAATTTAGTAGTATGACCCAAAGTGTACATGAAGTTTTTAATTTTGTTAATATATAATAATATAATAAAGTGTGTAAATACAGGGTGGGCCAAAAGTCAGTTTGCAAACGTTGGCCTTAATAGCTCAGTCACTGAGTGCCCAATTGAAATACTTCCTTCTGGTATGACTTAGTACCACCACTGGTTCGAGGAATTTGTCAACTCGAAAAATATTCGCGTTCATTTTTTTCAAATGGAGGTTCATTTTCACATTTATTTGATAGTTTGGATATTAAAATCCGAATTCGGATCAAGCTAAATGTTATTGAATTGTGTTTGGCCATTCGAATTACGTTTGTCCTGAAAGAATTAGAACTGTAGCTTCTCAGATGACCGAGATATGAAGCATAACGAGTTTATTCATTACGTGTGATCAGCTGTGATTGGTTTACCTAATCACGTAATAAGGTGACCCCGTTAACTACCCCGTTAAACATTATGGGAATTGTTAAGGGTGCCCAATTAAGGTGTCGTGTCACGGTGTCACATAATCACCCAGTCAATTTTGTTAACGAGATACACAAAATGCTTGATAACTTCGTCATTTCTAATCCGTTTTGCCTCATGTTTTCAGATCATATGCAACATGTAATAATCTACCGTCTCTGAAAAAATTAGGCGTTCAGCATGTTCAGAAATAACAATATAGGTGTTTTAATATTGAATGGGCGTGGTCTAAAATATTCGAATTTTCAAATTTTGACGACGGAATCCTCGAACCAGTAAGTACAGTATGCCATCTGCAAAGCAACAGCTCTCAAAAATAAAACACGGCGGAGGTATAAGACCCAACGTTTGCACACTGACTTTTGGCCCACCCTGTAGTATTAGGCCAGCATCACAACTTCGCTTCAAATATGTAATTTATTTTTATTTAATAGATTTTTGTTAGGAACCGATTAATACAATTAATACAACTGTTCATATAGATCATAGTTTAACATCTTAAAATATTAAAATCTTAAAATTCTGAAATCTTAAAATATTTTTTAAGTTATGTTTTCAGGAATGATGAAAAATCGATAAATGATAAATGAATTTAATAAGATAATGCTTTTATCAGTTTATTATTATGGTCATTGGTCAAAGCCCCATGCATAATCAACATCAAGATTCAAGGTAAATCTACACAAAGTAAGGGGAATCTATGGCAGCAATCCCTACACCAACACCACCCTCGTTTTCTCCGGCTACCTTCGTCCTGATGAGGGGTCCAACAGTTTTATTTTGTTTTACAATTCCTGCCCCATCAGTACAGTAAACCGAGAAACATCCAAACTGAAACGGGGGAACTGTTAAAAAGCTCCAACGCTTTTGATATACAAGGTCGTTGAATTAACCTAATCATATATACCTTATCGGACCTTATTTGGACGGACATTACTTGAACGCTGGAGGCCCTAGCGTTCACCTTAATGTCCGTTCAAATAAAGTCCGTTCAATTAATGTCCGTCCAAGTTAAAGTCCGTTGAAATTTTTTCAAAAATTTTTTCCATTTAGAACTTTTTGTCCAGCATATGACGACTTTTTAATGTCAGTCAATTTCAATAGCTATCATTAGACTAAACTATGTCGTTGAATCAATAAAAACAAGGTATTTTTCTTCCTTACTGCATGAAAAATGGATTTAAAAATCATTTGCTAAAATTAAAAAAACCTTTAAAAAAGATGAAAAAAATTCGGATTTTTGATGGTTTTGATCGCCTTCTAGCGTTCATATTAATGTCCGTTCGTAATTATGTCCGTTCAAGTAATGTCCGTCCAAATAAGGTCCGATAAGGTAGCTTCTTTTAATACAAAAAACGTATTTGCACGTGCAAAAATGTTTTTTGATAATAACTTGTTTCATTTTTCCCATTTTATTCATGGATTCCATGACACAAACCTCGGACACAGTATTGAACCTTTCTGACATCACCCCCCTTCTCACTATTTTATTCTTCCTCCTCGGGGCTGTTATCCTCTTCATAAGAATGTACTGAGCTCGTGCAGGATCCCCTGATTTAATAATTCTGATTATTATAATATATGTTTTAATATGTAACTAATAATCTTTATTTCAGAATCTCTGTGAATGTAAGTTAAAGTTAATTCTCTTTGCCTTATCTCCATCTATTACTGAGTTCGGATAAATCAGGTGAAGTCACAGAGATTATGGAAAACTGTGTTTTTTTCATTGGGATACTATAAATACTCCTCACTACTATAGTAAAAGTAAAGTATTTACCATTACTCTCACCTGATAAAGATAGCAACTTCTCTCTCATCTCCTCCTCCCAGATGTTGTGTCCTCCTCCTTCTCGCTGGGGCTTCATAACGTACCCGTCCGGGTGATCTATGCCTATCATGTTAAAAAGGTTTATTGCTCGTTGATAGAAGTGAAGACTGATTAACATACTTGGAGCCCCTTATAAGCCCTGGGACTTGCTAACTAACTGACATGTTAGTTAATGAATAAATAAAAACCTAGTTGAGCGTTCTTGTCCCCTTCCACGTTCATATTAAGGTGTAGTGTCTCGCAAAACAGCTCCAGTATCTTATCAGTAACAGCAGAGGACGGAGTGTAGCGGTCTAACACACTTCTCTGAGTAAGTACCATTTGGAATAGCTTCGTGTTTACCAGTTGGTGGCGCACACACGGAACCTTAAGGTTGCGCGTTGTTATGTGTTGCTAAGCGTGTGACGTCACGTTGTTTTGTGTTGCTAAGCGCGTGACCATATATATTATATATTAAAGTCATTATTGGTTTGGTTCTAAAAAAGATGTTTGGTTCTAAAAAAGATTATATTAATATTAATACTTATGTAATCTCGTATGCTCTAAACGAAAAGATTTTGAATATCAAATAAAAGTACACAAACATTTGTTCAGGCTTAACTGTTATAGCTGCACTAAGCTCTAGATCACGCCTCAGCCTCCATATGTCATCAGACTTAAAATGTCTGGGATCGTACAAAGTTCTGAAGTAAACCATTGCGACTTCTTTCCCCTCCACCATATACCGATCTAAATTAATTAAAGAGTGACAACCATAGTTACGAGTAAGGCTTTAAGTCCCTTAAATATCGAACTAATAAAACAAATATTTAATAAAACAAATATTTATTCTTACGGCACAATCAAACAATATCAATAATAAATAAATCAGGGGAGGTTTGAAGAGGTTTCAAGTGCCGAAGGCCACTGCTTATCTTTAGGATTTGAGAGTGACCTGTGCTTGAAACCCCCTCGGCCCTCAACCATCCACTACGTCAATACACTTATTATACAAATATAAAAAAATATAATAATCTAAAATTACTTATTGGTTTAGTTTGGTGACACAGGAGAGCCCAGTTGAGTTTTAGTTTAGGTTTAGTTTTTAAATTATAGTTTAAAAGGTTAGCCATGTTTCATGGCAGAGAGATATCATGTGTGCAGAGCCGTACCGGATGTAGAATTTGAGATATAATATAGATTAGTTACCATGTATTGGGGTCATCTCGATTTTGGAGGGATAGCAAGTGCTTTTTAAGGTTAGATTTAATAATACCTGACGAGGCTGATAAGTCTTAATTCTTAGAAGAACCCGGGATTATTATCCCATCTTCATTAGCATCACATATTTCGAATACATATAGGGGCTGAGGTCATTCCAATTAAATTATCATGCCCTAATTCGTTTTGTAATAAATGGCATAAAATTGCAATTTTGTTTGACCGAAATATCGTTAGACTGACCGTTCTTAGTAGTACCGTGAGCTGCTAAGTACCGAGCGGAGTAGCGTTTTGTGGGTACTGCTGCTCGTTCTAATGCGTTTAATATCAACTGAAATAGTGTTAGTGTTATACTTGTTGGGTCTATAAATTAATAGGTATATAATTAATATTAATCAATGAATTCATGGTTTTTTAAAGTAAAAGGTAAGGATATTTAAAAAAGTTAAATTTTACTTCTGCTGTATCATATATTTAGTTAATAGTTATTTACTTGCTGGTCAAAGTAGTATCGTCAGTTTGATTGATCATGACAACCACACAGTTTCCGCTGCAGCTGTACTTTTCTCTGTACAATTCGTATCCCAAACGGAGCCCATCGCTGTACCCTAAAAGACATTGTAACTGGGAATAAATGATAACTACGATATTATAATGTAAACTTTAATCTCATGATGCGTTCTAATTTTCATAACCTGGTTCTGAATCCCAACTTTGCAGCTCACCTTGTATGATATTGACTTTGTGATGATATCTTGAAATGTCCATGTTATACTGGTTGAGCAGTGTGCTGTGGTAATCACACACTCCTTCTGACAAACCTCCAAGACTTGCTGCCACCAAGTTGAATTCCACCTGAAAATATTTTATATTTTTAAATTTATTTTAAAATTAATCTTTTTGCTTTTTTAAAAAACTTCTTTTATTTGTTTTTGGAAAGCAACTTCGATGTACTGGGCATGACAGATTAGCAAAATATTTGTCGCAAATGCGCAGGGTAATAGATATTTTGTTTCTTTTTTATTGCGACCAAGAAAACAAAAACTATAAGTTCTGAATAAAACTTTTGTCATTAAAATGTATGTTCATAATCCATGCTTCCGAAATGAACACTCAAACTATCACTCAAAACATTACTATAGTTTTTCACAAATATTTACTTAGATAGTTCTACTATTTTGTCACTTAAAAGTCCATGCTTTAATTTTCCAAACCACACTCAGACTTTTCTTCCTTGATGTCTGATGAAGCATTGTCCTTAGTCTCCGTATTCCAAAGCATCGCCAAAACAAACTGCACCACCGCAGAGCCAACCATCAGAGAAACAACCGCCAAGGGACTAACAGGGTAAATACTGTACGTCATAAAACTACCAAAAATCGACCCAACCTCTCCAAAACAGCTGGTGAATCCTGAAGAGGTACTTCTCAGAACTGTAGGGTAAGCCTCCACAGCGATGTAGAAAAGTGTTTGTCTGAATCCGGTAACACCCAATCGAACCATCATGTTGAGTATGTTTTTCAAGATTGAGTTCAGGTCAAAGTAAATCGAGATTGCAGTCAACATGGTTAGAAATCCAAGACTCTTCAACATTAATATTCTCCCTATTTTTCTTCCAGCAAGTCCTGCCAATATGCTTCCGAGTACATCACCTGACAATGATACTAACGTGCCAACCAAGGCTTCTTGGTTTAGACTATTACTACATTTAGGCAATCCAACGACGACTTTTGTCGTAGATTCACGACTTTTGTAAGAATCTAATGGCAAATAAGCTGCAAATGATAAGTAAATGAAGAAGTTCAGGGTAAACATAGCAGTAACGAAAATTGTAGTTTTAGCATAGCCGTGACGGAACAATGCACAAATTTCCGCTTTTTTCTCGAGCTTCACTGCATTCTTCCCAGAATACGACTCAGGAAAAGATCTGCAGTTCCATCTGTACAGGGTCTTTAAACTAAGAAGACCTTCTTCTATTCTTCCTTTTACAAACAGATATCGCGGGGATTCTGGGACAACTAACAATCCAAGCAGTCCTGGTAGCAATGGAACCATTAGAGCTGCACACCAATAACGCCAGCCTATTTCGTTGAGAAGAAAGTATGCCATCAACGACAGATATAAGCCACCAAGTTGGGAACTCAATACCATGAAAAAAACTGCAAGTTCCTTGTACTCAAAACCGACAATCTCTACAGCAAGCACATAACAAACGTGGCCACTCACCCCGTTGCAGATCCCTTGCAGTGTACGAACAAGTAGAAAGACCATTGGGTTGGGCGAGAAAGCTGCCAGGACACCGCACAGAAGGTGGGTTGCCGAAGTGATAACGATAATGTTTTTGCGTCCATAGTTGTCAGCGAGATTGCCAAGGAAAATGCCACCTAGACAAAAAGTAATAGAAAGTGAGGAAGCAATAGCAGTTTCAAAAGGGCCGCTCAATTCCCATTCACAGCTCAGATAAGGCATTAGAACAGTTGTTAGCAAGTAAACCATATTTTGTATCATCATAATGGAGGCGAGGCTGCTCCAAACAAAACAGTGAGCCTTTCCTAGGCCCAGTTCTTGGGTTAGCTCATCAAGGCTTTTTTCCGTGCTTATATTTTCTGGTTCTTCATCGTTTAAACTTCCGTACTTCACTGTCATATCTGAGTATATGTTGCTAAGTGTTGTTCAAAGGGAATAATTTATTTGATTTTATTCTCGCCCTCAAGCAAATATACGTGCCAAAGCTATTATCAAATACCTTGTTGCAGTGGCGTGATTGCGCAGCTGTGAACTGAAAGTTTATAATGCTGGCAGTCGAATGGAAGGAAAACGAGTGAATACTTGTTTTAATAATATTGAATTGATTAATTATTATTGATTATATTAAAAACAGTGAAGTCTTTAAATGGTCAAAATTGAAGACGCTGAAGTCTTCGCTAAAGTTAACTGTCTATATTTAATGACTGAGAGTATTGTTTTAAACAAAGAGTAATTGTGGGTTTATGAGTAATATTTTTGATGTGAATTATCCCCGTAATTTAGCTTATGATAAGAAATATAAGCAGAAATTACAGTGACGTTTTGATAATTAGTTATTTGTTTTCACTGGGAGACTTTGGGTCAGAAAAACTGATCCGGCCCCCAAGAGGGGTCAGATCACGTCACCAATTAGTGGTGTATAATTAGTGATGTGATCCCTGGATTGAATATAATTGACACAGAAATGGGCTAGATCTGGGGTAGAGTTCACATTACGTCTCAATTCTGTAAATCATAGCTGTACATTAAGAAGTAAACGTGATCTGACTGCTCGACTCGTATATCACATAAGGGACGGGAGCTCTTGCTAAAGGGGGGTTCTCGTATCAAGGAATGTGAGACGTACTTACCAAAGGCATGCAAGGGGAGTTAGCCGATCGAGTGTTCCTAGGTATATATACTGGAAGATAGAAGGTATCACATTCTATCAACAGTCATGTCTACCTTCTCCAAGTTCCTCAATGGTTTCAGAGGATGTCAACAAGTGCTTAATTTTGACGGATATATCTACACCAGGAAGAAATCTGATGACACCGTTCTTTCTTCTGCTTGGCGCTGCCAGAAGAAGTCCTTGCTGATGCTTCAACAGAAGTAAATCAGACGCTACCAAATATGGAATCACTTGGAAAAGTCGTCCGACGAGCCAGAGCTTCTGCCTCCGGATATGTCCAACACACCGAGTCGAAGACCTCTCTTATATTCGTTCTTCCTCCCAGCTGCACATCTACGAGAAGAGACGAACAATTTATCCTCTTTGATGGGAAGACTGACCGAGATGTGGGATCATAGCCTTCGCCACCAACAGGAACCTTCAGACCCTCGTGCAGAACACAACAATGTCCACAACAATTGTCCAACTGACACTGGTACTGTTCTGATTGATTTTGAGAAAGCTTTAATGAACTTACAGAGTTGTCATATGAACTCTACCCCAGATCTAGCTCATTTGTAGGTCAATTATATTCAATTCTTGGATCACATCACTTATTATACGCCACAAGCTTCAATCTTGTATGTTAATTACTTCATGACCTATATGGTGGTCATATCACTTCTGACCCAAGGTCTGGCAGCCTTTGTTTTAGGAAAAGATTAGACTTGGTTGTTGTTTTTTAACTATCTCTTGTTTAGAACTTTTATTTGATATAAATATAATAATAGTTGTGAGTTAAGTATACATTTTCAAAACGGTAACTGTTCTTTAAAAGTTTTACAATTTTAAAAATACAATATTTATAGAGGTCAAAAATATCTAATGTGGTGTATCCAAAATAATGAATTCTCTTAAAGTAGCGAGGTCCAGGCAAGAAAATTAAAAACATTTCGGGTTTCATAAAACAATGTGAGCATAATGGTGAGATTAGCCAAGTAACCAGACAACCAAATAAAAATGTTATAGGATGGACATACTTTTAAGTGTAGTAAAACCATTTTCTTTTATCTGCTCTTTCGAACTGATATCGATCACCGCGGTATTCGACCTTTTTGTGGACGAAATACATGGCACATTGTAGATCTTATAACCTTTGTAATACGAAATACGAGCTAAAAAAACATTCAATGGTCAGCGCGCGCGTCTTGCATGGCCGGGCGCACTGCCTATTTCTAGAGACTGTGAGAATTTTCACAATACAAAATTTGTTATACCTATTTGGAAAAATCAGTGAGTGTCGCCTAGGTGCCATATTTAATGGTGCGCGGCTTTAGAAGCAAAAGTAGCTGTAAAAGTCGCGTAATTTGATCAAAATTTATCAAATTCGTTGATTTTTGTCGTATTATTTGGATACATTTTCAGTTCCTCCGCGACTTTTACACCTAATTATGCTCTAAAAGCCGCGCACCATCAAATATAGCATCTAGGCGAAACTCACTGATCATTCCGAAAAGGCATGACAAATTTGGTACTGTGAAAATTCTCACAGTCTCTAGAAAACAATGGTACAAAAATTATGAAAATCCGAGCAAGTTTATTTTTATCGTGCACCCCCTACTTATTGGTTGAAATTCTGTCCGTCCGACTGTCTTTTCTTTTTTCTTCCTCTGATCGAGTTGGGACGGAATTGATACAATTATGAAATTCTTAAACAAAGAACTTAAACTTAAAGAGAACTGAATGTAAGTGAACTGGAAGTGGAGCAGCTATGTAAGGACAGCTGTACTCATCACATTTGGTCTCAACATTCCTCCAGGAGTTTGGTTCACTCTATCTTTTACTTGAACAGTGACAAATTTAAATTTAATTTAAATTTATCGCAGATCATAGTAACAGACTGAAGTGTAGCACAGTTTAACTTTAACTACCATGATATAAGTTATATCTTGATGCAAGATAGTTATAAGGTATCTTGATGCAAGCAAACTACTTTGGAATTATCATTTAGAACAGATTTCTTTAAAGTTTAACTTGAACATTTACAAATTTTAATTTAATTTAAATTCATCACAGATCATAGTAACAGACTGAAGTGTAGCACAGTTTAACTACACTTAAACTACGAGACTACAGATATATCTTGAATAGCTTTATACAATTAAGCAGACAAGGAGGAAATTCCTACTTGAACTTCACCTTGTCTGCTTACTTGTATAAAGCTATTCAAATTATTTTTCAAATAGGCACAGATGAGTGCGATAGTATTATAGCACAAAGACATTTCCATTTCAGATAACAATCACAGTAGACAAATTTGAAAAGAAGATGGTATATGATCCAACTGTCGATTTGGAGTCAACAGGTGAATACGATGTGATCCTCTATCGCTCAATTCAACGATACATATGAAAATTTTGCAAATAAGTCATTTTGAATGGCAATTTTTGTGTGCTTTTTGCATTAAAATACGTGAATTTCGATAATATAATATGTTTGTCCTTACATATTTATTTAAACAGGGGGTACGAATGGAGACGAGGAAAACAAAAACGAGGAGGAAGAAAAAGAAGATAGCAAGAAAGCGGCTGCATTATCAGCCACTCTAAATGCATTCCTGTTATCTGTAGCTTATCTTCTTCATTTCGTCGCTTGAGAAAAGACAACAAAAACTGAATCTAATAAAATAAATATTTAATGCGAAAAGTGGGCCGGCTTAAAAAATAAAAACTGTGCCATAATTTAATGAGACCCTTCCTGAAATTCTATGTTTGATAATTAAAGATCAATTTAGTAGTATGATCCAAAGTGTACATGAAGTTTTTAATTTTATTAATATATAATGATATAATAAAGTGTGTAAATAGTATTAGGCCAGCATCACAACTTCAAATATGTAATTTATTTTTATTTAATAGATTTTTGTTAGGAACCGTGAATTAATACAATTAATACAACTGTTCATATAGATCATAGTTTAACATCTTGAAATCTTAAAATCTTAAAATTCTGAAATCTTGAAATGTTTTTTTAAAGTTATGTTTTCAGGAATGATGAAAAATCGATAAATGATAAATAAATTTAATAAGATAATGCTTTTATCAGTTTATAATTATGGTCATTGGTCAATGCCCCATGCATAATCAACATCAAGATTCAAGGTAAATCTAGACAAAATAAGGGGAATCTATGGCAGCAATCCCTACACCGACACCACCCTCGTTTTCTCCGGCTACCTTCGTCCTGATGAGGGGTCCAACAGTTTTATTTTGTTTTACAATTCCTGCCCCATCAGTACAGTAAACCGAGAAACATCCAAACTGAAACGGGGGAACTGTTAAAAAGCTGCAACGCTTTTGATATACAAGGTCGTTGAATTAACCTAATCATATATAGCTTCTTTTAATACAAGAAACGTATTTGCACGTGCAAAAATGTTTTTTGATTATAACTTGTTTCATTTTTTCCATTTTATTCATGAATTCCATGACACAAACCTCGGACACAGTATTGAACCTTTCTGACATCACCCCCCTTCTAACTATTTTATTCTTCCTCCTCGGGGCTGTTATCCTCTTCATAAGAATGTACTGAGCTCGTGCAGGATCCCCTGATTTAATAATTCTGATTATTATAATATATGTTTTAATATGTAACTAATAATCTCTATTTCAGAATCTCTGTGAATTTAAGTTAAAGTTAATTCTCTTTGCCTTATCTCCATCTATTACTGAGTTCGGATAAATCAGGTGAAGTCACAGAGATTATGGAAAACTGTGTTTTTTTCATTGGGATACTATAAATACTCCTCACTACTATGGTAAAAGTAAAGTATTTACCATTACTCTCACCTGATAAAGATAACAACTTCTCTCTCATCTCCTCCTCCCAGATGTAAAGTATTTACCATTACTCTCACCTGATAAAGATAACAACTTCTCTCTCATCTCCTCCTCCCAGATGTTGTGTCCTCCTCCTTCTCGCTGGGGCTTCATAACGTACCCGTCCGGGTGATCTATGCCTATCATGTTTAAATACTTTTAACATTACTATATAACAAATAATTTGATAATTTTCACCTATCAACATTATGCCTATCATGTTTAAAAGGTTTGTTGCTCGTTGATAGAAGTGAAGACTGATTAACATACTTGGAGCCCCTTATAAGCCCTGGGACTTGCTAACTAACTGACATGTTAATGAATAAATAAAAACCTAGTTGAGCGTTCTTGTCCCCTTCCACGTCCGGATTAAGGTGTAGTGTCTCGCAAAACAGCTCCAGTATCTTATCAGTAACAGCAGAGGATGGAGTGTAGCGGTCTAACACACTTCTCTGAGTAAGTACCATTTGGAATAGCTTCGTGTTTACCAGTTGGTGGCGCACACACGGAACCTTAAGGTTGCGCGTTGTTATGTGTTGCTAAGCGTGTGACGTCACGTTGTTTTGTGTTGCTAAGCGCGTGACGTCACGATGAACATATATATTATATATTAAAGCCATTATTGGTTTGGTTATAAAAAAGATGTTTGGTTCTAAAAAAGATTATATTAATATTAATACTTATGTAAACTCGTATGCTCTAAACGAAAAGATTTTGAATATCAAATAAAAGTACACAAACATTTGTTCAGGCTTAACTGTTATAGCAGCACTAAGCTCCAGATCACGCCTCAGCCTCCATATGTCATCAGACTTAAAATGTCTGGGATCGTACAAAGTTCTGAAGTAAACCATCGCGACTTCTTTCCCCTCCACCATATACCGACCTAAATTAAGTAAAGAGTGACAACCATAGTTACGAGTAAGGCTTTAAGTCCCTTAAATATTGAATTAATAAAACAAATATTTAGTAAAACAAATATTTATTTTTACGGCACAATCAAACAATATCAATAATAAATAAATCAGGGGAGGTTTGAAGAGGTTTCAAGTGCCGAAGGCCACTGCTTATCTTTAGGATTTGAGAGTGACCTGTGCTTGAAACCCCCTTAACCATCCACTATTCGTCAATACACTTATTATACAAATATAGAAAAATATAACAATCTAAAATTACTTATTGGTTTAGTTTGGTGACACAGAAGAGCCCAGTTGAGTTTTAGTTTAGGTTTAGTTTTTAAATCATAGTTTAAAAGGTTAGCCATGCTTCATGGCAGAGAGATATCATGTGTGCAGAGCCGTACCGGATGTAGAATTTGAGATATAATATAAATTAGTTACCATGTATTGGGGTCATCTCGATTTTGGAGGGATAGCAAGTGCTTTTTAAGGTTAGATTTAATAATACCTGACGAGGTTGATAAGTCTGAATTCTTGGAAGAACCCGGGATTATTATCCCATCTTCATTCTTCATTAGCATCACATATTTCGAATACATAAGGGCTGAGGTCAATGCAATTAAATTATCATGCCATCATGCCCTAATTCGTTTTGTAATAAATGGCATAAAATTGCAATTTTGTTTGACCGAAATATCGTTAGACTGACCGTTCTTTGTAGTACCGTGAGCTGCTAAGTACCGAGCGGAGTAGCGTTTTGTGGGTACTGCTGCTCGTTCTAATGCGTTTAATATCAACTGAAATAGTGTTAGTGTTATACTTGTTGGGTCTATAAATTAATAGGTATATAATTAATATTAATCAATGAATTCATGGTTTTTTAAAGTAAAAGGTAAGGATATTTAAAAAAGTTAAATTTTACTTCTGCTGTATCATATATTTAGTTAATAGTTATTTACTTGCTGGTCAAAGTAGTTGAATTGGTGATCAGTATCGTCAGTTTGATTGATCATGACAACCACACAGTTTCCGCTGCAGCTGTACTTTTCTCTGTACAATTCGTATCCCAAACGGAGCCCATCGCTGTACCCTAAAAGACATTGTAACTGGGAATAAATGATAACTACGATATTATAATGTAAACTTTAATCTCATGATGCGTTCTAATTTTCATAACCTGGTTCTGAATCCCAACTTTGCAGCTCACCTTGTATGATATTGACTTTGTGATGATATCTTGAAATGTCCATGTTATACTGGTTGAGCAGTGTGCTGTGGTAATCACACACTCCTTCTGACAATCCTCCCAGACTTGCTGCCACCAAGTTGAATTCCACCTGAAAATATTTTACATTTTTAAATTTATTTTAAAATTAATCTTTTTGCTTTTTTAAAAAACTTCTTTTATTTGTTTTTGGAAAGCAACTTCGATTTACTGGGCATGACTGATTAGCAAAATATTTGTCGCAAATGCGCAGGGTAATAGATATTTTGCTTCTTTTTCTATTGACCAAAAAAACAGAAACTACAAGTTCTGAATAAAACTTTTGTTATTAAAATGTATGTTCATAATCCATGCTTCCAAAATGAACACTCAAACTATCACTCAAAACATTACTATAGTTTTTCACAAATAATTACTTAGATAGTTCTACTATTTTGTTACTTAAAAGTCCATGCTTTAATTTTCCAAACCACATTCAGACTCTTCTTCCTTGATGTCTGTTAAAGCATTGTCCTTAGTCTCCGTATTCCAAAGCATCGCCAAAACAAACTGCACCACCGCAGAGCAAACCATCAGAGAAACAACCGCCACGGGACTAACAGGGTAAATACTGTACGTCGTAAAACTACCAAAAATCGCCCCAACCTCTCCAAAACAGCTGGTGAATCCTGAAGAGGTACTTCTCAGAACTGTAGGGTAAGCCTCCACAGCGATGTAGAAAAGTGTTTGTCTGAATCCGGTAACACCCAATCGAACCATCATGTTGAGTATGTTTTTCAAGATTGAGTTCAGGTCAAAGTAAATCGAGATTGCAGTCAACATGGTTAGAAATCCAAGACTCTTCAACATTAATATTCTCCCTATTTTTCTTCCAGCAAGTCCTGCCAATATGCTTCCGAGTACATCACCTGACAATGCTACTAACGTGCCAACCAAGGCTTCTTGGTTTAGACTATTACTACATTTAGGCAATCCAACGACGACTTTTGTAGTAGATTCACGACTTTTGTAAGAATCTAATGGCAAATAAGCTGCAAATGATAAGTAAATGAAGGAGTTCAGAGTAAACATAGCAGTAACGAAAATTGTAGTTTTAGCATAGCCGTGGCGGAACAATGCACAAATTTCCGCTCTTTTTTCGAGCTTCACTGCATTCTTCCCAGAATACGACTCAGGAAAAGATCTGCAGTTCCATCTGTACAGGGTCTTTAAACTAAGAAGACCTTCTTCTGTTTTTCCTTTTACAAACAGATATCGCGGGGATTCTGGGACAACTAACAATCCATGCAGTCCTGGTAGCAATGGAACCATTAGAGCTGCACACCAATAACGCCAGCCTATTTCGTTGAGAAGAAAGTGTGCCATCAACGACAGATATAAGCCACCAAGTTGGGAACTCAATACCATGAAAAAAACTGCAAGTTCCTTGTACTCAAAACCGACAATCTCTACAGCAAGCACATAACAAACGTGGCCACCCACACCGTTGCAGATCCCTTGCAGTGTACGAACAAGTAGAAAGACCATTGGGTTGGGCGAGAAAGCTGCCAGGACACCGCACAGAAGGTGGGTTGCCGAAGTGATAACGATAATGTTTTTGCGTCCATAGTTGTCAGCGAGATTGCCAAGGAAAATGCCACCTAGACAAAAAGTAATAGAAAGTGAGGAAGCAATAGCAGTTTCAAAAGGGCCGCTCAATTCCCATTCACAGCTCAGATAAGGCATTAGAACAGTTGTTAGCAAGTAAACCATATTTTGTATCATCATAATGGAGGCGAGGCTGCTCCAAACAAAACAGTGAGCCTTTCCTAGGCCCAGTTCTTGGGTTAGCTCATCAAGGCTTTTTTCCGTGCTTATATTTTCTGGTTCTTCATCGTTTAAACTTCCGTACTTCACTGTCATATCTGAGTATATGTTGCTAAGTGTTGTTCAAAGGGAATAATTTATTTGATTTTATTCTCGCCCTCAAGCAAATATACGTGCCAAAGCTATTATCAAATACCTTGTTGCAGTGGCGTGATTGCGCAGCTGTGAACTGAAAGTTTATAATGCTGGCAGTTGAATGGAAGGAAAACGAGTGAATACTTGTTTTAATAATATTGAATTGATTAATAGATATGGATACTGGCGGGGAGGTGATAATAGTTTGTTTAAATTAATAGTGAGTACATATTCGGCAAGCTGAGGAGGTGATAATTGTTTGTTTACATTTTTATGGTGAGTACATGTTCGGCAGGCTGAGGAGGTGATACATATTTTGTATTATAGAAGGCTTGTAACACGTGTAACGCCTCCTTGTTACACCCCCCCCCCCCCCCCCCCCCCCCTTTGAGGGCTCCAAATTATTTTCTGAACGAAAGCTCAAAAATAACCGAGAAATCGACCTTCTTATTAACTCATTTTGATGACCGTTTCTGACCTAAAATTTCACGAAAAATCGATATAGCTATGTTTTAGAACCTATAAACACTTCCTTATCCCCCAAAACCGATGTTTTATAGTTTAGAATGCGAGCAACAAGCAACATATATTTTGATCCTTTGGTTCTACAGCTCTTGACCTAGGGCTGAAACCGAAAGATCGAGGCAATCCTCACCTTAACTGATCGAACTTGAGCGAAGAGCAGAGCACGACAAAACACAGCAGGTAAGCAACTCATTTTGGTGACTGTTCCTCACCTGTACAACTTCAACGTTGCAAGAGAAATCGATTTTTTTGTGAAACTTGGTTTCGAGATAGCAGTTGACCAACAAACTAGGACCGGTGACCGAACTTTTGAGGGGGTCCCGGACCCCAACAGCCAAACAGTGCCCGCGGGGCAGCCACGCCCATATTTGGTCCAAATTAGGCCCAATTTAGGCAAATTTGTTCATTTTTTGCGATTATTTGAACACAGAATCCACAGTTAGGTAGATATTGAGCTGATAATCATTGAGAATGTGTAGTATAGGCTTAACTTCCATATAAAGTTGGTTTCATTCAAAAATATTGATATTTGATCAATTTATGGGCCAAAATCGATGAAATTTGGTGCGTATGCCCAAATATGGGCATATGGTTTTTATCCCATAACTCGGTCAATTTTTATCCAATTTTGATAAAACTTAATATGTGTGTTCAGGAGACTAGTAGCTACAAGTAGAGCATCCCAAAACATGGTTTTGGGCATGTTCAGGGTATTTGGCTAAATTGGGCCTAATTTGGACCAAATATGGGCGTGGCTGCCCCGCGGGCACCGTTTGGCTGTTGGGGTCCGGGACCCCCTAAAAATTTCGGTCACCGGTCCCCCCCCCCCCCCCCCCCCCCCTTAAGTTGGTTTTACAGCCCAATAACGCTTCCTTATTCCTCAAAATTGTTGTGTTACTCAAACAAAGAACATGTTGATTCTGCAACGAAAGAACAAGGAGATCGTCTTGTTAACAACTCGAACAGGTTCTATACAATAAAGGTAGGTAACCAACACAATGACGTATAACAATCATAATAAAAACTGAATTATATTTATTCTGATCGGTACGTTGATTCTGACCGTGATCCTGACCAATTGTAATAAAGGTGTTATGTCACGTGACGCTGATCCGTCCAATCACAAACAGGAAGAGTCAGCAGACGGATATAATATATCTTTTGTTACAAGTGTTACACGCCTTCTATAATACAAAATATGTATCACCTCATCAGCTTGTCGATCATGACGTACTCACCATGAAATGAAATGAAATGAAATGATATAGTATATGTATACCGCCCATATGGTTAGCAACTGACACAAGTACCAGGTACTAACCATGTCCGTCAGAGCGGTTCTAAAAGGTGAGGTGAAAATATCCAGCAGCAAACAACTAAATCATCTCAAAAACAAATCTATTTAGGAAAAATAAAAACTTTAAATATATCATATAGTAATCATAGGAAGATTTATTGATATATACCACACTACGATTAACAATAAACCACCAGAAAAACACTTCAAAAGTAACATAATATACTTATAGCCTAAAGGAATCATAGGAAGGTTTATTAATATAATAATACACTTTGCACTAATAAATAAAGATACACCCTCCAACAAATCATAAGAACAAAGAAAAAACAGCACTAATCACATACGGTCATATAAATAATGTTTAAGGCTACCTTTGAAACTGTCTACGTTGCGTAGTGATCGTATCTCCCAGGGAAGTGAGTTCCACGCAGTTGGTGCGTAGTTGGTGAATCGACGTTGATCAATTTTACTATTTGTAGTTTTTAGTCTGTAACAATCTCCTTTTTAGTCTGTAACAATCTCCTTCTACTTTTTATCTTGTACTAGCTATTTTCGATGGGTTTTCAATCACTACAAGATTCTGTATGTAGGCCGGTGCAATCCCATGCACAGCTTTATAAGTTTGTTTGTTTGGGGGACCAGTTTTTGGTACGCCGGCCAATGTTTACAAAATCATATGATACATAACAATATAATTGTGTTTAATATACGTGAATATTAGAATAGAACTGAAATCTTAAATTTCTATTAGTTCCTTGAAATTGTTACTAAGTTCAAAATAAATTTATATGATTTAATGTTAACAGGAAGACTTTAAAGAAAATCCTTTGGTCAAGAGGAAGGATATGTGCTCTCTTGTAGTAGGGAAGTAGGTCTTCTGATCGGTCTTTGATGTTGTAGATGAACCGTATGGCACCATTGAGGGTTGATCTTAGCTTGTTTAGTCGTGTCTTTGGTAGGTTCATGTAGAGAGAATTACAGTAGTCTAGCTTTGATATTACAAGCTGTGTTACCATCATGAGTTTCACTCCTTCATCCAGATAGCGCCCAATCGTCCTTAGATTCATCATTGTCCAGCTGCATTTCTGTTTGACACTATTAATTTGTCTTTCCATGGTAAGAGACTTATCAAACTTTACCCCAAGACTCTTCCAGCTGTCACCTTTACATTCAGTTGGAGTGATAGTTGAGTTTCCGAACTGAATCGTCACCTCCATTTTGCAGTCTTTAAGAACTTTTGATTTGCCTAGGACAAGTAGTTCTGTCTTCGACTCATTGAGTTTCATAAAGTTTCCAACCATCCAATGCTTGATTTCCGAGAGACAACTATTTATCCGATCTTTGAC